AATTTAAAAATCGCTAATTTTCGAAATTTTTTCAATTTTTTTTACTTAAAAGTGCCATAACTTCTTCAAAAATAAACATATCAATATAATTATTTTTTATATAGATGCATACTATCATTACCTTTCATTTGGTATATTTTTTTCATAAATTTAACCCTTACCTGCCCACAATGGGGGATTCAAAATGACAACTTTTTCACAAAAAATTAACTTTTTTAACTTAACTTTTGAAAATGTTCCGGAAGGTCTGACACTTTTATATATATCTTAAATTAAAGCTAATGTAATATACTTTATCATGGAAAAAAAAAATTTCGGACTTTATTTTATCTTCATGGTGAAAACAGACATTAAACTTAATAAAAAAAATACGATTTTTGTAAAAAAATTCTTTTTTATATTTTTAACTTTATAATGCTATAACTTTTTGAAAGATGTATGGATCAATATAATTCTTTTTTTTGTAGATGCATGATGTCTTTACCTATCATTTGGTATATTTTTTTTATAAATCTGACTTTTTACCTGCCTACAGGGGGGGATTCAAAATGACAACTTTTTCACAAAAAATTGACTTTTTCAACTTAAATTTTGAAAGTGTTCCGGAAGGTCTGACACTTTTATATATATCTTAAATTAAAGCTAATGTAATGTTCTTTATTATGCAAAAAAAAAATTTCTGGCTTTATTTTATCTTCATGGTGAAAACAGACATNCTTTATTTTATCTTCACGGTGAAAATGGCTACCGAATGCTATTATTGTGTGAAAATTCTCGATTTTATGTTTTACATTTTTAATTTTATAATGCAATGACAAATTGAAAAGTGTATGGATCAACATTATTTTTTTATGAGAAATAATATTTTTTAATAATCCCTTTTTCATTCGACATACTTTATCTTAATCAGGATATTAATAAGGAACTAGCAGTTTATGAAGCTTTTGGAATAATCCACCAATTTTTTTAAATTAAACACTATCTAAAGATTTGCATCGAAGCGTTTTTTTTTGATAGTGATTTTAATCACTGTCAGATATCATTATCCATCTATACCATGTCACCACTGTGCCGCGACCCCCCTGTGCTGGGTTTTTTTTTTTAAGTAATAGTTATACGTTAGGTCTATAGCTATATCTCAATAATTAATTTTTTTACATTTTATTAAAAATATTAATTATTTTTAAATTTTAAATAAAATGTAAAAAAAAAATCTAAGATAGCTATTTTGTAGAGTAGAATTTAAGAAAAATTTTAGTAAAAAAATATCTTATTAATATTCAGTAGTAAATATTCTATAGCATTTTAAAGTTTGTGGTATTAATGCCAAGGTTGTAAATTATAGTAATCACGAAAAGATAGTGTTTTCTTCTGTCCTTTTCTCAATACGTATTTCAATGTTTAATACCGTAAAATAATACATGAAAATTCAAATTTTCACAAACTTCAAAACGCTACAGAATATTTACTATTGAATATTAATAAGTTATTTTTTTACTAAAATTTTTCTTAAATTCTACTCTACAAAATAGCTATCTTAGATTCTTTTTTTTTACATTTTATTTAAAATTTAAAAATAATTAATATTTTTAAAAAAATGTAAAAAATTAATTATTGAGATATAGCTATAGGCCTAATGTATAACTATTATTTAAAAAAAAAAATCAGCTAAAAATATTAACTGGATCAAAAGTTATTTAAGTTGTCAGTGAATGCTGGGCCACTCTGTATATATATACATGTAAAGCAACTTAAGTACGTAAACGTATCATGCACGAGGTATAGCCGTGTTTTGTGGGCGGGCGTGGTGGGGGGAACATTATAAACGAGGCATATACGGCGGCAGCGGCGTCGACTATAGGAATATATAAATGAATATTAACATATACATATATACAGGGTGTTCAGTAAGTCAGGAAACGGGTTTCTATTGTTCTCATTGTTACAAACAATGAGAACAATAGAAACCCGTTTCCAGACTTACTGAACACCCTGTATATATATATGTGAGTGTGTATATATATTAATATTAGCGGTGGCGATAGGAATATATGATCTTCGCATAATATCGCGGCACTGTCGCTGGCGTCGACGTTGCGATGTCCGGCGTGATCCTCGGGCGACAAAAGGTTAGCAGCGTAAATAATGTCGGTACGCGAGTGCAGATCAGTTTGTTGACGTTGTCACTTTGACAACGAGAAGAAGACTACGTAATAGAGATGTTAAGTTCGTGAACGAATAGTTCATTTGAACTATTCACTTAGATGAACTATTCTGAACTGTTTCAGTACCTGTAACTTAACAGTTCACAGTTCGAAAAAAATTGGTAGCAATGTATAAATGAAATAGTTCGCGAACTTCTTTAAAAATTCTTTGTGGTTCGTTGTTCGAAATACTGTAAATGGTTAATAGCTGTTTACAATTAGATAACAAATAAATTATATTGTTAAAATGTTACACGGTTTTTAACTGTTTAACAATAAAATAAATTCATACTATGTACAAATATTAGATCAGATTTCTGATTTAACTTAAGACTACTGGTCAGTATATCTACCTTGAATTAGGTGATAATGATAACATGAGCCATGAGGGTATTAATAATAATTTTTTCTTAGTTTATGATGTTCAGGTTAAGGGTTAGTTTGTAACTTAATTGCCCATAAGTAGTGTGAACTACAACTGAACTGTGTACTGCTATACTAATAGTGATAAAATGAATAGTTCATTGCCAAACAATATCAGCATGATCAATAAAATTAGTGAACTTAAGAATAGTTCACTTGAACTATTCACTTGAATGAACTATGAACTAATGAACTATTCACAGATATGAACTAAACTTTCCATCTCTACTACGGTATCATTAGTGGCGGGACGTCGTCGGCCGTGCGGCACTTGTTGGACTTTGCACCGCGGCGTATAAGCGCGGTGTTGGTCAGTCAAATACTCATAAAATAGGGCGACGGCTGATAAAGGTGGCACGAGTCGTGGGGCATCGTGTAGAACGAAACGACGCGGGGCCGTGTCAATCACAATAAAAATTTGTTATATATATATATACAATTGATGGCACGCACGCGTATACGGGTACGAAAACCAAAAATAAAAATATACAGGCAAATATTCTGCCGTGCTAATCGAAAAAAGGATAACTCCAGTCAACATGATTTTTCAAGAACGCGAAAAAACATTTTTAACAGTAAATCAAGATACCCTTTTTTCCCAATATATGAACATAAGTCAAAAGACGATAACTCCATTATTTTTTATGTGATATACCAAGTTTTTGTTTAGTATTTGGATTTACCGAGTTTTCGCTTACAAAACATCAAATATATTAAACTTACCGTATATTTTATTATTTTATATTACAATTTTAGATGGGTTTTAATAGGAAATATGCTATTTTTACATCAAAAATCGGCGTAAAACCTCTAAATTTACCTATAGAAACAAAAAAAATTTTTTTTTAATTTTGGAGTTATCCTGTTTTTGCTTAGCACGGCAGTATTGTTGTCGGCGAGTAGTGAACGGAGTGGGGTGAATGCGTTACAACAGTTTAGTCTCAAGGTCATACAAGACGGAATACGCGACATAGTAACACGTGCCGCGTGGAGTTACAAACAACACATATACATGTGAAACTAATATAAGAGTGTTAATAAGCTCGAAACAATAATGAACGAAAAGTACTAGTATTTTTCGTTCATTATTGTTTTAAACTTATTTTAAAAATTGAAATAGTCTTTAATAATTGATAAATTGAAAAATACGTGGAATTCATAAAAATATATTCTTGATCATTTTAATTTTGTTCATAATTGTGTAGATTATAATAAACGAATCCCTTAGTCTAAAAATTAGTTCCTCGGTGAGATGAAATCTGTCATAATTGCTTATTATTGATAATGGAGACTGTTTTCTCAAAAACTTCCAATTTTTGAATTATTTATTTAATAATAGCTAGGTAAATTAAAAACAAGTTTTAGCAGCTACATTTCTTGAAAATTTATAAAATAATTAACTTTTTCATTTTAACTTTTGAAAATAATCCGTAAGTCTTATGTAAGCAAAAAAAAATACATTAAAATGAAATTTATTTATTATATTAAGTCTTAAATTTTTCTAACCTATGTAGTGCTTAAGAAAAAAAATTCAGTAGCGATAGTATATTTTAAAGGGTATGCATGGTTATGTTAATTTTACTATGAGATAACTTCTTTTCGTGTCTAAAAATAATATAATATATGTATATATTTCTAGTGACGAATTTACATTTTCAAATAATCTGAATAAAACTACATAATACAATTATTTCTTAGTAAATTGCGTGACTTACCATATTAATGGATAGTTGTAATATTGGAGTTGTAATATTTCACTTAAATAATCCAATAAAATTACATATCTACTCATAAATTTATTTTATAGTAAAATTTTACATTATTTTTTGTTTAATAGAAACTATCATACGTCATTACATGCAAAAATATTTAATAACATGTTAAATTTTATTAATATTTTCATATATTACTTTATATTTTCTATTTATAACTATTGTTTCATTTGTATATACATAATGAATACACAAAATTTATATTTCGAATAATACAGAAAAAACGTATTCAAAATACGTATTTGAAAACATTTTTTTAAAAGTATTAACATACAAATATAAATAATTTTTAAAAGTATTACAAATACTTCAAAGTATTAAAAGTCTAAATAATTAAAAATCTAAATTTCAGTTTTGTTTTTGTGGTGTTAATTTTTAAACTAAAATAAATCATACATCATTACCAACGAACGTTGTAATACATTATTTGTAAATATAACCTGCATCTTATATGGGTGGTTAAAAGTTATACCCACAGATTTACAAAATATAACTAACAATATTAAAATTTCATGCATAATAGTAGAAAGTGGACTGTCTATGAGATTAAAGATGGTCCTTACACTAAAAGAAGTTATAAGAATTACAAAACAAGGGTTATTTATTAAAATAACAATAAATATGAAATATCATAGATATGTGGATTGAGGGTCACTTAATACTAAAATGGCCGACAATGCAGCTATGAACAAAATAGATAAAATATAATATAGTTATTAGAAACAAATAAAGACTTAACTGTGTAACGTACAATAGATGAATGATGACAGTAAGTGGACAGTGTGAATACTTTGCGTTAAAATGTTGAAGACTACAAAGGTAGTCACTCAATAAGTAAATACATCAGATAAGGACAGGGTGAAACCAAAAGTCATGCACAGATACGAAAGCTCGAGGGAGCCAAGGAACAACAGAATGTGCAAAACACAAAAATATAATATATGGCGCACATACAAAAGGAGGCNGGGAGCCAAGGAACAACAGAATGTGCAAAACACAACTTGTATATACATGAAAGACACACAGTGGCATAGACTGTTATAGCAGTTTTATAATGACAGGGAATCACAGGGTGATTAATCCATTAAAATGATTATAAGTTATGTGCACCATTGAACCATGTAGCAAGAGCTAGAAATGGTGACGAGAACGTATAATGCACAAAAGGTACCGACAATAACTTGGCTACACACAAGAATCACGTATGTATTACTCCAACGTAATGTACGTTGGAGTAATACAACTTAAACCACACTTATGGTGGAACGTCAACCCGGCGAAATCATACATGTCTTCCTCATTAAAATATTTTTGATTAACACGCGTATTATTATTAACCCTAACGTGTCTCGCTAAAATGGCCCACTTGAAACATGACTGATGGATGTTTTGAGGGTTGATGATTGCCTTTCTATGGAAAATTTTGGGTGTGTCAGGAATATATGATGAGCCGGCGACGAGTGTATACTTGTATACGCTGAGCATGAATCCGTCGATATGCGCTAGCGTGAATCCGTTATTCCTGCCCGAGTACATGTCTTCCTCAACGAGAATAATCTCAAAATCATTATTAACAGCATCCACAATGTCCGTATCGAACAACAACGCCCTAGCCTATGTCTTGAAAGCCCGTTACTCGGGCGGTGCTTCCGATAGCGATATATGGTATGAGGCCTCCAATTTGAGATTATATTTTATCGGCCGAACAACTGCAATTTCACAGAGTTTGGCAACCAGCTTGGATTTAACAGCATGCAGAATATCTCGATGGCTCGCGAAATTTTCCACGTTTTTCCTATAATACCAAACGGCTCCCCGTTCCAACGCGGAATCAATCTCGATGAAATTTTTCGCGTCCGGGATTGAATATGCAACGTTTTCGATTTTATCTTACTGCTGTTAGTTCTACGTTTAACAGAATGATGGTGTGAAACAGTCGTAGAACAGGTAGCTATGAAAAAAATGTATATAAAACAATTTTTGATATAAGTTTCGAAAAATATCGAAATATTCAAAGTAGGGTAAAATAGAGAGTTCTGAGACCACCGCCTAATTCCCTCATTATCCCTATCCCATCAGAAATTAATCAGAGAAAAGCAATCATCAACCCACATAATATCGATCAATCTTGTTTCAAATTATCCATTTTAGCAAGACATTTTAGCGGGAGTAATAAATCTCGCGTTGATCAAAAATATTTTAACGAGGAACACAGGTATGATTTCACGGGTTTGACGTTCCCCACACCTGTATCCTAAATTCAAATATTTGAGTAACGAAACTCTAGCGTGTCTGTCAATGTATATGGCGTTGAACGAGACGACGTCAAGTTGAAGTAGTCGGTATATAACTAAGAGTCGCAACCAAGAATAACACAATCATTTTGACCTGTTGTATATTGGCGACTCTGAAAAATCACATTACGTTTACATTTCCGATTTTTCGAGACTCATGCGCAGCCAAGAAACTAAACACTAAGGCCGCATATACACTTGCAAACGTTGCTTCACCAGCTTTGATGACCAGCCTAAAAAGCATAATCTTTGAGGTCAACAAGCGTTGGAGCAACACAAGTTGATATGCGGATAAAAATAAACCCGATTTACTGTTACACGTGGACGCATCTAGCCTGCACAAAGATCACCCTTGCTATCCCACCGATGAAAAGAAGACACCCGGCTTGTCTTCAGACGAGACCTGTGGCCTCACCTTCTTTGAGATTGCTGCACTTCGATCAAAGTGATACGCACCTGTAAATCGGGGCTGTCAGCTAAGTCCTGGTGGAAGTCGCCGACTCTGAGCACGTATATGAAGGAGTCTAAGAAAAAATTAAAAATATATAAATGTTGTAAAAAATATTTATATTGTAAAGTTGTACTCACTTGTATACATATAAGCCAATTATATTGCGTTGCCAAAATGTGGTTTTAATACGTCGTAGAAGACAATCCGACGTATATAGGTTTGATAGACTTGAAAATCTTTGTGTCCATTATGACGGCTCACAACCTTCCACCGTACTTGATACAGTCGTTGAAGGTTGGTTGGTTTACGAGCTTGCTTAGATGTACGGGACTGGAGAATAGCTCAATGCGTTTGGGTTGGGTCCGTGTCATCGAATAACGAAATTTCATACGGAATAAGATATTCCGATATTTAAATATTAATATTTTTCATATTTATTTTATATAATCTATTATTTATTTTTTTTAGATTGATACGTCATCACAAAACTCATATCGATCACTCGTTAACGGTACAAGACGTACGGGGAAAACTTGTTTCTTGTCACAATAAATCGTAGCAAACCGGTGTAGTCTCAGTAGACGGCGTTTCTACGCAACTCTGTGCGTTTAAATAGTTATTCCTATACAAATGCTAAACGTTAAATATTTATTAATCATTTGGTAAACCTTAAAAATGTTTAATAATCGTTTGCGTCGATATGGCCCGCCGCGCGTAATACGAATTCTGCTCGTTACATTTTTCTTTTTCCAATCGAAACACGTCGAAATGTAAAAATACATATTAACTCAATTATTATGTTTTTTATTTCCGTCGGTCCTTTTCCGGGTCGTTTTCGTCGAGGGAGTATGCGCGGTCGCGAAACGTCGAACTCTACGCACATACCCAACCAAACCCAACCAGTCCGATCGGAAGGAAGTCCCGGTCGGTCTCGGACTCGACATGGATTTCGAAACTCGACTTCCTAAGTCGTCCGAAATCGATATAAAAGGGAAAACAGAGACGTGTTACGCGCTCGCTCGCCGTAAACGTATGAAAATTCAACTCTGATATTAAACGTTAAATAATTACAACCCAACCCAACAACACTCCCACGTACACAACATTGCGCTAATTGTATTAAACACACGAACGGTACTATAGCATTTTAAGAATAACTACACGTTTTAATAAACATACAACATAAATATTATATATTACGTATACATATTATACATTGCATACTACTACATAGACATATTATACATTACATATATATTGATTGATTGATAAATGATACAAGGTCGTCGTCATGTAAACAATTAAAACTCGTGAAACTGTTTAACTGAAATACAATAAACTTATGTATATATTAACTATAACGCTTATCTTTGCTTCAAATTAACGAGGGGGGACAAAAATGCAAAAACAAAGAAATTATTATAACCAATAGAAAAAAAAATACCAACCCGAAATTTTAATTTTAACAATTTTAATGGGAAAAAAAACCATACACGTATATCCCAAACGCCTTTTACTTAAACCCAGACGAGTAATTTATATATATATATATATATATACACACCTTTATATAGAAAAAAATAAAATTATAATAATAAATAAATAAATAAACAAAACTTTTGTTTCTCTTTGACGTGCGACGACAGGGCGGCCGCCGCGCTTTTAAGCAACGATTTTGTACAAATGTTGTACAACAAGAAGAAAAAAACAATTCCAATTGAATTATATAACGCCAATCACACAATTTTAATTATAATCGATCGACCAACGAGAAATGTACAACGGTCTGGATGGACGGACAAGATTGGCGCACCCGGTCAGTACGAACTGCTGCCGTTGACCGGGTACAGCGAGTGGATCTGTCTGGCCACGTTTCTGGCGGCGAACGTTATGTACAGCATGTCGTCCGGAGTCCACCAGGAATTCTAGACGCAAAAAAATCATCAAAAAATTATTATTAATATATAAATATATAATAGTATAAAAAAAAAAAATGGCGATGACGACGACAAAAGACACTCACCGACACCGCGCCGTGCATCCTGAACGCCCGGTCAAGCTGTTCGCGAACTCCCGTGTTGGCCAACTTCCTGGACTCGAACTCGACGGTGCTGCCCACTAGCGACACCGGTGACAGGTACTGGAAACAAAAAAAGACGGCGTAAAATAAACGATGCCCGTCGACAACGCGCGCGGACGACGATACTCACATCTCTGATCATGGCGCTCGCGATGTTCCTGTTCCGGCCAAACGTCTCGCGTTCCGCCGCCGGGCCGTCCTTCCGTTTGGTCGTGGAGGGCGACGACGATGGTCGGCGGTTGGCGGTGCCGGTGGCGGCGGCCGCTGTGGTGGCCGTGCTGGAGGTAAGACGCCTCATTTGGTTCGGCCGGGCGGCGGCGGCCACAGCATCGGCATCGACGACAACGGCTTGGACGGCGGCCGTAGCGGCGGTTGCTGCGGGCGCATTGTTGTGGTTGTAATCGTTATCGTACCGGTCGTTCAGGTCGCGGTTGTTCCGATTGCGGTTGCGGTTGTTCTGGTTACGGTTCTGGCGGTTGTTCTGGTTGCGATTGCGGTTGTTCCGGTCGAGATTTTGGCGGTTGTTGTTGTTGCGGTTGCGGTCGTTTCCGAACATTTTGGCCGGACCTGCGACGGCGGGTAGCCACCGCCGCCGCCGGCGGCACCACCACCCCGAATCGTCGTCGTTGTTGTTTGCTGTCTGTCGACGTTTGCCGTCGGCGGCGGCGGCGGGCGTATGTTTTAAAAGGGGGCGACCTGCAAACGGCGATGGCGGCACGGCCTTTGTGGAATATCTGCCGCCGGAAACGCCTCCACGTTTGTTGTTGTTGACCAGTGATGAACCACCGTTGTTGTCGTTCCGTTTGGATGTCGGCGCGCGATTGACGGCGGCCACCACGTTTCTACCTGTGTGAAGAAGAAGAATAAACGTGAAGAAGATTAATGCGTGTCGTCGGCATACCTCTAGTGGCAGTGGCGGTGGCGGCGATCCAAGGGCGAGGAACGGACGTTTCCGGTCTATCGTCGGCGGATTGGTGTACAGCGAAACCGCCGCCGACAACGCCAGTCGACGGTGACGCGGCGAGGTTGTAATTGTAGTTATCGTCATCGTCTTCGTCGTTCTGTTGCGACGGGGACGGGGACGACACCGAGCAATACGGTTTCAGTATCGTTTTCAATGAATCGCTGACCATGACCGCCGGCGGTCGATTGGCGAACATCTGGAAAAAGCGTTAAAAAAAAAATTAAAAATAAAACACATTTTTAAAATACGTCTTCGACTTCTCGGCTACGCACACTACTAAACTTTGTACTACTATTACTACTGTCACAACATATTACTACTCAATACCACTACTACTACTACTGCCAATACGTTTTTTTTTTCGATATTTCAATACAGACAATTACCATTTGTCCGGCCGTTTCGTTCGGCGGTCCACCGCATTGCGCTGTCGCCGAGAAGAACCTTCCGTCGTAGACGGAGGCGTCGGCGTTTCGCCGGGCGCCTGGGAGCGTCTGCCAGCACCGGGACCAGTGCGGTTTTTCTATGTTCTGAAAAATAGTGACAAAAATAAAATAGTAACAACAACGACTACTATAAGGCCCGTTTCACACTAGCGCGTATGGTACGCGCGTATACGATATTCTCATACGCCGCGCTTTAAAACGCGCGGCGTTTTTTTTTTTTATTTCACACTTTACCGCGTTTTTGCTATAGCGTTTTCTATTTATTTTCAAAATGAATGTCCAACAGACAAGATGCATGTTGGCTTTTGCGGCCTACAGGCACATTTTAAAAAAGAATACTTCAAAAATAAAAAAAAATAGGCGATTTTGGGTTCACCCGATGCTGCTTCAAAGACCTCTTAGAGGCGCTTTTGCAACCCTTTTTTCTGAATTAAGAGACCACGAGGAGAAATTCTTTAATTATTTCAGAATGTCGATAAAATCGTTTGATGAACTACTTTCAAAGTTAGAAAAGGGGCTAACCGTAAATAGTAACTTTCGCGTACCTATTTCACCGACAGAAAGGCTGTGCATAACATTAAGGTAAGTAATAAATATTACTTAAAATAAATTATTTAAGGGGCTAATTTTATAATAACTACATAATAATTATCAATCTAATGACGGGAATAGATGTTTTTTCTATAGGAAAATATTAAGGGTTTAATAAAAGTAATTTTTTGTACTTTTTTATACTTAAAATAAAATTAATTAAATTTAAAATTCATATTCNTTATACTTAAAAAAAAAATTAATTAAATTGAAAATTCATATTTTGAGATTTTTATTATTAACACACGATATCTTACCCACTTAACGGTATTTGTAATTACTCAAAAATCATACTAACTTTTTTTGAATAAATACTGACGTAATATTTTAATTAGTTCGTATTTATAGATACTTAGCATCGGGTAATTCATTCACAGACCTTCATTACTCCTATAGAATGGGAATATCTACTATTAGTAAAATAGTAGAAGATGTATGCAGCGAATTATGGGGACTTAAATCTGAAATTATGGCTTTGCCGGATCAGCAAAAGTGGAAAGAAATTGCTTTGGGTTTTGAAAACGATGCTAACTTTGTAAATTGCATCGGCGCTTTGGACGGAAAACATATTCGCTTAATCAAACCAATCCAGAGTGGATCAGATTTTTATAATTACAAACATTACTATTCAATAGTTTTTATGGCTATTTGTGATGCAAATTATTGTTTTACTTTTATTGATGTAGGAGCTCAATGAAAGTTTTGTGATTCAACAGTCTTTAAAAAAACAAAATTTTACAAAAAACTAGAAGATCAAGAACTTTTTGTACCACCACCGAAACCCTTACCTTGCCAATCAAATCCATTACCGTTTGTAATAGTTGCTGATGAGGCTTTTGGTGTATCTCAAAGCATACTTAGACCATATGCACGAAGCAATTTGAATTACAAAAAAAAAGTATTCAACTATCGCTTGTCTCGAGCAAGAAGATATATAGAATCAACTTTTGGAATACTTTCTAACAAATGGCGAATTTTCCATAGATCGATGAACACAAGCGTAGAACTTTCTATAAAAATTGTTAAAGCCTGTTGTATATTGCATAATTTTGTCAGGAACAGAGATGGATTTAGATTTGAAGACACATTAAGTATTAATGGTTTTGAAAGTCTTAATGACTCAATTGATGTTTATAATAGATCAGGTAATATATTAAGGGACCAGTTTGCCAATTACTTTATAAGCGAAGCTGGTAAAGTAGAATGGCAAGATAGAATGATTCATTAATTCAATATAAGTAATGTGCTCAATAAGTTTATGTTAAATGTCTTCTTAGTACTACTAGTAATGGTCTTTGATTTTTATTCTTTTGGTAAAAAGTTTTTGCCACAAGAATTATTTTTACTAAAAAATAACATTTTTGTATAATTAACATTTATTAAAATTGTTCTTAGTATAAACATACAAATAAAAAATTTTAAAAGTAATATTTTATATATTTTTATGCTATTGATTGTTGGGGAACCTTCCATTTTTCATATGTTTAACACTGGAAACGAACAAAATAACTAAAAAAATAAAAATTATAAAAAATAACAAGAATAACGAAAATAACTTTTCACTGATTAATGCCCTGTTTTATTTATTCAGCATTTAACTTATAAGTTAAAAATCAAATAAAAAATTTGATAAATAAAAACAATAATTTTTTTAAACACAATTGTGTTTAATTTATTTCATTTGTTGATTGGTGGCTTGATTGAGGTGGCTATTGGCCTCCTTCTGCTGGAGTTCCTAACGACTGGTAACTTTGATAGCTATTTACTTCAGGAGGAGTAGAAGAAGACGTAGTGAGAATAGATGACGTGTTATGATTCCATGGACCATAGTTAACTGGATATTGTTGAGAAAAAAAGTCGTAAGGTTCTTTGTATGGAGCTCTTACATTACTTGTATTTTTTATTGTCATCATAAGGCTTAAGACTTGACTTCTAAATAATAGTTTTTGGTCATTATTAAATAACCGCAACGTTGGCAATAGAGATTCCATAAAAGAACGATCTTCATCTTCTTTCGAACTCTGCTCGAGTACTGATAAAAACTTTTCTTCGAAATCAGTATCATTCCATGTTCTTTTTCCCTGTTTAATTCCTTTATTGTCTTTTTTTCTTTTCCAGGGAACTTCTTCTGCTGCCTGCTCAACTTCTATTGTCTGATCTTCGAACACTGATGTACTGATATCGTGATCAGAAGATGAGTTATCCATGTTTGATTCAGTGCTACAAAAATATTATTCATGTTAAATATCATTATATATTAACAGTTGTTCTAAATACATTTTTTCCGCGTTTAGGGTGTTAATATGGACGTTTCACGTGAACTTATCTAATACGTGTGCAACCGTTGCTCAAAAAAAATAAAATATATTATCAATTGACTCATTATCAATTAAACTTTAAATTGTAAAAATAAATAAATTTCAAAATATACTCAACACATTTAGTTCAGCTTGCGATTCTAGAAACTGTAATTGACGATCATACACGTATTCCTTTTGCTTTTTCGCTCCACTCCCAGATTTTAGTTTTCTTTTGTTTGCAATTGACCGCATTTTTGCGTCCCTGGCACTTTTCCACCTTTGCTGTACTTTGTCCACTGAACCATGATAATGGTAATTTTAAAATATATATATTTATTATTCAAAAAACAAAAAAAAACCCGCACAGTTAGAACTTCACATAGTTGATACAAGTATAGATTATATCTGACAGCAATTAAAATCACTATCATAAAAATCGTATCGATGCATATCTGTAGATTGAGTTTAATTTTTAGAAGGAATTGTTGGGTTATACCAAAGCAACATTGGCTCCTAATTCCTTAATAATATCCTGATGACTAGTTTTATGATTTATAAGTATAATACGTGAATAAACAAATATTATAGAAATTAAAGTAGTATGACATTGATATTCAATATTTTGTATTGTAATTTTTTAAGGTGATTAGATAAGGTGTCGGGACAATTTTTTTAAATTTAACTTCTAATGTGCATTGTAAGCTATAACTTAACATATGTTTGAAGCTTGGAGTATTTCCGGAACATTTTCAAAGGTAAGGTTGAAAAAGTTAACTTTTAATACAAAATTGTTATTTTGAATTTCTCCCTGTGGGCAGGTAAAGGGTCAAAAAATATACTTAATAAAAAGAAAATATCTAAGATGTTTATTAAACAAAATGGTTTTTATTCATCCATTTTTAAAAAAGTTGATAAAAGTAAAAAAGTTTAAAAAATTTCGAATTTTACTGATTTTAAAAATCGTAATTTTTTGGAAATTTCTCCTATTTATGAGGAACGTTGAAATTTTTAAAAAATTTTTTAATTTTTCAACTTGTTAAAAATTACTTAGAATCTCATGAGCGATTTAATTGTAGTATAATTGCTTTGTAGCTTTATAATTTTCTTTAATTTATAATGAATTTAAATAAAAAAACGTGTACAGTCTTCTTAGAAATGAATATGTCATATTTCATTCTAAGGTATCCAGGAGCATAATTAAAAGAGATTTAGGCGTATGATTTCTTTAGAACAAAAATATTTAATGAAGATACAATTTTTTTGGAAGGGTTTAGGTAGTGAACATTTTTCTTATTTATATGCCCTCTTAAAACAAACTTCAATTACGCCACTGAAGGTATGACTTAAATCTTTTTTGTAGAGATATGCATTTGNTATGACTTAAATCTTTTTTGTAGAGATATGAATTTTTTTGAATTGAATCGTTTATATTAATGGATAATTATACAGACTGTAGATAAACTATTCATAAACAAAAACAACTTTTATGAATGTATTAATTTTTTTAATGAACGTTATTATAACGTGTTCATTTGACAACAAAATGAATTTGAGTGTAAGCGAGTTATTTTTTACACGTAAACGAATTTAATTTATTATTAAATGTTCCAGAACACTCTTAAAAACAAATAGTAATAAAAAAGAATGATATATTCCAATTATTCTCCCATTTTACTTCCTCTAACCTTATGCGTTAAGATAATCGTTTGTTTTGACCTACCTGTATGTGCACATACAATTTTATTTTATTAGAAACATTTTAATGAGATGAGTGATCGACAGCCCCCGCAGGAGACAATGCCTGTANACAGCCCCCGGAGGAGACAATGCCTGTATACAATATACATGCATAAATACTCACTTGCATCTTTTTGATCGTTGCTGTTCATAGCATCGAACCCCGCTACAACACATTGTGCTACTTCTCTAAAGGTTGCTGCTCTAATATCCCTGTCCTTATATCTTTCATCCCTCGAATTCCATAAATTTAGCCTTAATTGAACTTCATTTATTAAAATTTCAGTGTCTATAATGAGAGTCATTTTTCGAGAACTTGCTAGGGATAGAAGTCATGACAAAATGACGAAAAAATACAAGACGCGTACGTTGTACGCGTCAGTGTGAACATGTTCATTCATATCAATGTTTGGTCAGCGCGCGTATCATACGCGGGACCGATGAGCCTCGCGTACGGATTATGAAAAACGCGCGACTTGAAATCCGCGCGCGTATCATACGCGGTGCTGTGAAATGCTACATAGTAACAACGTATCTATAAACGACGCGTAAGAAAACGCGCGTTTCATACGCGCTAGTGTGAAACGGGCCTAACGACAAAAATGACATAACCGTTACCTCGTATTCGCGGGCGAACGAGAAGCTTTCTATGGGGTCTCCGTCGTCCCATTCCGTCTTGATGTCCGGCCGGAGTCCTGCAAACGGTCAAAAAACAAATGCGTGAGAACGCGGCGACTTTTTAGTTTTAATGGTAGTATTAGTGGTAATAGCGGTGATGGTGGTAGTAGTGGTAATGGTAGTAGTAAGGCGCATGCGCTGCGCTTCACTACTACTACTACTACTACTATAATCACTACCGCTAAAGTGCGATACTTTACCGGGCTCTTGTTTTATCACGGCGGCGTGTTGATCCTGGAAAAAAAAAAGAAAAACATAAATAAACATTAACGTGGCGCATGGAGATTGAGTCGAGCGCGCGTTTTCATCACGTGCCATATCGAATACCATCACGACCTGCTATCGGAAAGTCTACTATACACGTCTATCTAACTGTCCGTCTGTCAGTCTATCGGTCCGTATACGAAACGCATTGCGGGCATAACACTATTGTATGAAATAGAAAAAAAAAATTATAACGAAAAAAAGTCACGAGTCGAATGTTTAATGCGAGTCAAACCCCATCGCAAAAAAAAAAAAAATTCCTATGTCCGCGACAAATTGTTGGAGAGAAATGGAACCGATTATTTTCCACGTGTTTCACATTTAACTAAAGAGTTTACTTTTTTTTCCGTAAACTCGACGACTCGGTTGGTAATTAATGAATCCTCCATTAGATATAACGGAACATATCCTAATAAGACGTGTGAGAGCGGACAACCGTTGAACATGTGAATGAAACGATTCGACCTGGCAGAATGGGGTCGCGGGCGCGTTTGAATGAAAACTAATATACATATATATATATATATATATATATGTACATACATATTTGTGTAAGTATAAGTATATATAATTTATTCATAACAATAGCAATAGTATAATAAATATATATCTATAGACCATTTAACAACAAAGAGAAAAGTTTTAAATATAAAACGGGAAAAATATTTATCTTTTTTTTTTTTTCAAAAACGACATCGCGCAACACCCGCGGAGTAGGACGGCTACTGCTGTTACTCACGTTCGACAGCGGCTTGTAGAAGACATTCCAGTTGCACCGGTGCGGGTCGTGCTCGTACACGCCGTAGTGCTCGTTGTCGTCGAGGATCTCGAACGTGGCGCTGTTCTCGCTGAAACACACGCACACTGAGATTAACAGTAGCAGTAGTACAGTAGACAGAAGTACTACTACTACTACTACTACTACTCGTAATATAGTAGACAGAAGTACTACTACTAGTAGTATTAGAAGTAGTAGTAGTAGCGACAGTAACGTGTAGTTTACCCGACAAACTGCACATCGTCCGAAACGACGGTGGTGGTAGTTGCAGGAGCAGCAGCGGTGGCACAGGTGTTTGTCGACTCGAGAACGGACAACGTGTCGGCCTTGTTCTGAAAAGTCAACACGAAAAAATCAATATTCAATTAAATAAGTACAATAATACATTATTATTGTATTAAATAATACAACACATAGGTGAGTTGTTGAGCGAGTAAGGAAACAGGTTTCCATCGTCGTCGTCGTTTTAACGAGGACACGTTTTACGGCCAATTTTAGAGCATAAAAACATGTCTTCCAAAATTGTATTTTACACACTAAATACTGCACTTAGAGCAATAACACCTATTATATAAACGAAAGAGAACAATAATTTGGAGATAATTTCTAATTCGTTTTTTGATATATTGTATTAGTAAAGAGTTAAACTGATTGAAGTTTAATAAAAATTATATTTTCAAAATTCAATTATCAAGCTTAATATTAGGTTAATCCCAAAATGGATATGAAATTGTCTTCGAAATATTGTCTTCATTCGATTTTGTAATAGGTGTTAAAACTCTAAATGTAATATAGAGTGAGTAATATGTATTTTTGTAAGATATTTTTTAGACCGCTTTTGTTGATCTATTTTGTCGACTTGTGTTGCCCTTATCGGTTATATTTTAAAAATATTAACAGATAATGGTGCGGCGTGCGGTATGGCTCGATATGACGCCGAGAACGTTATCCATATTTCTTTAAATAATTTAGCTAATACGTGGAACCAATGTTATTAAGCCGACACTCAATGTTTCAATTGTTATTACTTATCAGAATTTTAGCTTCGATGTGAAACTGAGAAGGTATTGGTATTACAATGATATGTTTTTTTTTTTTGTTTCTATTACCACTTTTTCTCAGATCTCACAGAACCAGTTTATTTCAACGATATATCAAAAAATTACAAATCGTATCTAGTCGAAGACATTAACCTCAAAAATTGAAAAAAAAATCCCCCAATAAAATAAAAAGTATTGAGCTTTTCTTTTAAATTTACAGTAAATAGTAATTATACAATGTCCAGACTGCATATTAATCTTTACAATACTATTTTTTTATTCTCATAAAATTTTCTATTTGAATTTCAAATTTGAAATTGATCTAATAGTTATGGTAACAAATTATCCTATTACTAGTGAAAAAAGATATTGTTATGCCAAGACATTTGATTTGATTAAAAAAAAATCATAAATGTATCCCCAACTATGCATTATGACATAAAGCAAAACATGATATGATAGAAGGACAACTTCGAATTGACAAACTTGCATTGTTAATGAAAAATATACAAGGTGAGTCTTTAAGTTTAAAAACAGGTCATAAAGACTCAGAAGCCAGTGTCAAAGCTAGTTATATAATAGCACAAAAAATTGCCGCTAAATCGAAGCCGTTTACTGATGGTGAATTTATAAAAGAGTGGAAGCGGCCTCTGAAATTTTATGTCCAGCATAAAAACAACTTTTTTCCAAATTGAGTTTATCATGTGTAACTATAGCAGGGCGTATAGAAGAACTAGGAACTGATATTAAGAGTACCCTAAAAGAACGAATTTCTAAATTTATTTTTTATTCCCTGGCCCTTGACAAAAGTACAGATTTGTCAGATACAGCTCAATTAGCAATTTTCGTTCGGGGTATCGATTATAATTTTAATACCACTGAAGAATTAGCCGCGCTTTATCCAATGAAAGGCACAACAAAAAGTTGAGATATTTTTAATGCATTAAAATCGACACTTAACCGTTTTGACATCAAATAACCTTTCTGGAGTTATAACAGATAGAGCCCCATCAAAGGTTGGAAAAAATGAAGGGCTCATAGCGCTCATTAAAAAAGAAATTGGGGTATGTGGTGCATTACAACTGATGCAATATCTCTGCATTATCCACCAAGAAAATTTATGTGCGAAATCTGTTGGTTTTCAAACTATTATGAAAGATGTTGTAAAAATAGTAAATTTTGTCAGATCAAGAGCATTGAATCATAGAGAATTTAAAAACTTTCTAAGTGGAATAGACGCTTAACAAGGTGATTTAATCTATTTTACAGATGTTAGTTGGCTCAGTAGAGGGAAAGTCTTGAAAAGGGTTTTTGTTTTAAGAAAAGAAATTTTTGAATTTGCTGCAAGTAAAGGAAAAATATTTGAACAACTCAATGATTCAGAATAGAAAAATGATTTTGCATGATCTCACATATTTACATTGCACTTGAATGAGTTAAATTTACGCTTACAACGTCAAAACCAATTAATTTATAATTTATTCGATCATATTAAATCTTTCGAAAATAAACTTCTGCTGTGGAAAATCCAGCTAAAAAAAAAAATAACACAACTCACTTTCCATGTTTGTCAAAATACAATTTTACTTCAACGAAAAAATACGCAAAAGGAATTTCTGATTTAAAACTACAGTTTGATTCGAGGTTCTTAGATTTCAAAGCTAATGAAAAATTGTTTAATTTGTTTTCAATTCCATTTTAATTATCAGTTGAAGTTGTTCCAGAAAATATGCAAATGGAGATCATTGATTTACAAAACAATAAAATATTAAAAGAAAAGTACAATAATGTTGAACTTTCAATTTTTTATTCGAAATATATTGACACAGAGACATATCCTAATCTTCGAAACAACGCATTAAGAATGATGTCTCTTTTTGGCAGTACATACACTTGTGAACATATTTTTTCACGAATGAAAATTGTGAAATATAAAACAAGAGCNAATGAAAATTGTGAAATCTAAAACAAGAGCTCGGTTAACTGACATTCACTTGGAAAATTCACTCAGAATTGCATCGTCTCAGATCCAACCAAATATAAACAAATTAGTTAGTGAAAAACAATGTCAGTTATCACACTAAAAATAAAATAAAAAATTTGTAATTAAAAAAAATGTTTATCTATATATGTTTTAATAATAATAATAATAATAATTTAAAATGTAATCATAAAAATTGTAATTATAAAACTGAATTCATGTGTAAAATATATGTTTTTACTACAATTGCGGCACGCAAGATTATTAAAAAATAATATGTGGCCCACTGCATAAAAAAGTTGAAGACCCCTGCTTTATGTGCTTAAAGTGAGTTAAGCAAAACTAATTTTGACATATTTACTGTAGCATTGCTTGTCGCGTGTTGTACGAAATATTTTCAAGCATTTTGGCTATGATTATCATTAAAATGTGGTGTTGTACTTGTTTTTTTAAATAGGTAATAAAAGTAATACAAAAATTATTTTCTAATAAAATAAAATTACCCGTCAATTAGTTCTAAAAAGATATAACAAAAATTCAAAGTAAGTACAATATATATTGATGTAATAGCGGTCGCTGTAATTCAATCAGATCCCTACAAGGCACATTTTTTCATTGGCCGGGAAATATTAGATAGGATCTCCGCTAAAAAGTTTTTCGCTTCGCGATTCATCTCTGTTCCTGTGCTCATTTTTAATATATTCAATATTTTTTAACTTAAGTAGAAATTCATTTTACTATGTTTTTTTTAACACTCGTACAAATACCTTGGATATTTTTTTTTCATTTGGAGTATTTTTTTTTTTGAAAACCTGATCCTTAAGAGGGATTTTTTTATTTTGAAAAAATAACTTTTGAAAATGTTTCAAATTGTTAAAATATTATTGATTATCTTAATGACTTATTGGATTATTTCTGTATTTAAATATCATCGAAAAACAAATACAAGAGAAAAGTTTGGGGTCTCAGTTAAAAGGTTTGATAGCTAGATTTTACAATTAAAAAATACAGAACTAAATTAATTTCAATGATTCAATTTAACTAAAAAACCAATCAAAAAGTTGTTTAAAAAAATTTACTCAATTGATCGTATTATAAAATTTGATTATAATTGTAAAAATTCAAGTGACATCAAAAATCAAATTTTTAGAAATGATTTATACAGTAATATGGTACCCAAAAATTTGGAATATTATAGAATGATTAAGAAATTTTTTCAATTTTTGAGGATAATGTCTTCGACTATCACGATTTGTGATCTTTTGACGTATCGTTAAAAGATATCGGTTCGGTGAGAGCTGAGAAAAAGTGGTAACAAACAAAATCCACGATTAAGCTTACTATAAATAATTTTACTATGCATTTTCATAAAGTAATTAATATAATTATTACTTAAAAATGATATCTATTATTGATATTATAACAGAATTATCAATTCGAAAACAGCGTGTTTTTAAAGTCCATTCAACAGCAATAGTGTTTTGCAGATTGTATACGGACCCATAGAAACATAAGACGTTACTATGTGCATAATACGAAAAAAACGCAAACTATGATAGGGCACACTCTTTACACATTTTATTATGGTTGCAACAACTCTGTACCAGTTTACAACGATTCACAGGAGGGGTGGTTGCTAGAGTATGGTAGTAAGAGCTGAAGGTGTGACCTTGCCGCCGATATGGAACACAACGCCATCTCTGGAGCGTTGTATGCACTTCGTCTTTACTAGAACGTCCTCTTAAAAAGTTTCCTTACTCACTCAACACACATATATATTACAAGTATATTATTAAACATACATATAAATACATATATATGTATGTATATATAATTATAATTATATATACACGATATTATGTATATAATAAATGTATAATGTGTGACTTACGTTATCCACTGGAGTGTTGGTCGGCGGCGCGTCGTCGGAGTAGTAGTCCCCCAGGAACCGGTCGATTCTGAAACGAGAAAATCGGTGAGAACGGTCGAGACGCGCGAAAACGAAAGCAACGCTGCCGCTCAGGGGAGCGTTCTTTGTTTTTTTCCCCTTTCTTATACGCGCGTGAGTTGTGTAAATATATATATATAAAATAAAATTGTCCAATTTTCACAAAAACACCCGTTTATTTATATATATAAATAGATAGATAGATAGATACAGAGTGGAACAGATCTAACTGACAACTCATATAACTTATGATCTACATATCGTGTTATACTATTTTTTTATCAACTTTTTATTCAACAAAATAGAACTATGTTTAAAATATGTTTTATGTTATTTTTCGCAATTACAAAAAATATTTTTAAAATTAATTTTTTTATTAAAATTTTTTTTAATATTAAAATGGCCATTTTAAAGAAAACTTTTAACAGCAAAAATTCTTATTTTAATTAAGTATTTACGTTTATACAGCATTTTGAAGTTTGTTAAACTTTGATTCTTTTACAAATTTCCTATGGTATCAAGTATTAGTCCATGTTAAGTAAAGTAAGGAAGTAAACTGTTAAATTACGTTATTTACTGGTAACAGTACGCGATGTCTTTTCCATGGATTATAATAACTTTTAACATGCTTTTTACAGAAATGATTATTTCTTATCTTTATTACAATAATTAGAAACATTATTGTGTTTCTATAATTTGTTTTAATAATCTTGATATACTACTACTTGTTTTTTCATGATAATTACAAATGCTTATTCCAATGTTAATAATTTTCATGTTTCTATATTGTAAATATTGATTTAAAAAAAAAAATGTATAAAATGTTATGTAGATCATAAGTTATAACAGTTGTCAGTTAGATCTGTTTCACTCTGTATATAATACTATATATAGTAACGCATACGGAGTGGTAATATATATGGTGTGGACCGAAAAGAGTCGCGACGGTACAATTTTCAAACGAGAACACTCCCCCCCCTCTTCATCCAAAGCTCTTACCGGTCGCTGGACGCGTTTATTTTCTCGAAGCGTTCCAAACAAAAATCAATTATTTTTTGTGAGGTCTTGAAATTTCCAAAGTGGAAAATGGACCGGCGCGGGCGTCGTTACGCGTGACAACAACGGTTCTAGCGAGTTTGAAATTAATTTTTTTTTATTTCCCTCCGTTAAGCCACACGTTCCACGGGAGTAGAAAAAACGTTTTTCACAAAACACCTTTTTGAAAAAAAAAAGCCGCATAAAAACGTTGCCGGTATCGCCGTCGAAACTGAGCGAACCGGTCGGGCGACTCGCACCATATGCATTTTTCAGTGTCCCCGCTAATAGCGATCGTTGATTACCTCCTTGACGCGTTTGTGTCCCTAACGTTAGAGTAAAACGACATTTTATGCGAACGGTTTTTTTTAAAAAAGGGTTTTCGTTATTTTTTTTGCAAACAAATTCAGTTTTTTTTAAAGAAGAAGAAATAACTGGACGCGTTTACGAACGATAAAAGAACAATAGTTTTGTCCCAAACTAAAATAACTCTCTATCTATATATATATATATAGGCATTAAAGTAAATATACGATTGGGTAGATAAAAAAAATGTAAACAAGAATACTATACAATAATAAATCCATTATAAGACTGGCCCTGTACCGTTAACGCCAATCTAAATGGCGGGGTAAACAAGACGGTCGCCATGACTATTATTATTATTGTAATTATTACGATTTATAACGACAATTATTTTTTTCTCCGTTATTCCTTGTCGCCGTTCGCGTTTGAACGCCCGACGACCTGCTATGGCGACCGGCCGGTGACCGCGCTCGAGAGGAGTAGCGCGCGCGACCGACACCCTACGACGCCGAACCGCGAGCGTGACCACCGGGTCGGGGCGGTCGGCGACGGTTTGGCGTGCGCGTACGTATATGACAAAAAAGAACATTTGTATTTATTTATTTTTGTTTAAATTGACCGGCCCCAAGTAGTTGGGATTAAGGCGAGGATGAAGATTTTTATTTAAATAGACATATCACTTACTCGTCGACGAGACGATCGTCTTCCGCGTACAACATAACGGCTACGGCTTCGGTTACAGTTACGACGACTGCACCGTCGTCGGCATTGAATTTCCGTCTGAAACGGAAACGGTAACGCGGTGCGAGACGAACGATAGAGTACGGCGAGCGGACGTAACGAAAAAAGTACACCGGTAGCGGAAAAAGTCGACCGGGTGACAGAAGAAGAACACAGAGTGAGGGTATAAGAAGACGTAGCAGCGGTAACGGTAATAGTAGATAGGGAAGAACGAGTGCGGGTAGTAACAATAATAAGGAGCAACGGGAGCGGCGAAAATCGGACGAGAAAACGTGACAAAAACTGGCTTTGAGCGCACGTGTGTGGTGGAGATAAAGAGTGATAAAAGTTTGGGAAAAGGGCGCGCGCGCCGATACAAACCGACAAATGAAACGACCGGTTGGGGCGCCCGAACGCATAGTGGTGGGACTCGCCTCCCGTTATCACCGTTGCGGGCCACTATCACCGCCGCCGGTCAAACGGACGCGATGATGATAACACAGTCATCTACAACAGCACGGTGGCGGTGGCGTCGGCGAAGACGACGACCGTTATGATGTTGATAACGACGACGACTACTATTACGGCAATGACGGTAGAAACGTGCGTTGTCGAACGGACGGGAGCGGCGCGGTCGACGGTACATGATGACGCGAACGGTTCGACGGCGGATCGAGGCTCGTCGGTGCAAGCCGGTTGGTAGATAGAAGGTGTCGTACGTCGCTCTAAACACATATATCTATTTATATTATATGTATTAGAAGCTCCTATATATATATATATATCGGTAGACCTAACCGGATGCGACTTTTTTCAATGACCGACAGACGAAAGTCGCTTCGACGGATTATAACGTCAGCCGTTGAAAAATCTACGAGTAGTGTAGTGGCAAATATATAATATCTTCATATTAAATATAATAACTGTATATATTTATACTGTAAAACAATGTAATATATTACAAGCTGTATACAATGGTCGGAGGGACGATCGCGCGCCGCCTGCTAAGATCAATTGAAACATCACATATGCAATATCGATAATATTATCAATTGATTGAATTAACGTTGTGCGCGTCGCTCGATCACTGCGTTTTTATTGCGGAAAGGTAAATTTTCTAATTTAGTAAAACGGTTACTGCGCCGTCGCTGTTGTCGGTCGCTGCAGTCACACTTACGATCGCAGTCGTCATTGTTGTTATTATTATATTATTATTGTTATCATTACCAGCAGCGCCCGCGAGCCACCACTGTACATATATGTATAATTTTATATAAATATGTACAGTTTATTTATAATTATATAAATATGAACAGTTTGTAACATATTTAGTGACGGCTAGTCGCTTGGACGACGGGAAGATCGCACCTCCTACTAAAAATAATTAATAGAAAAAAATTAATTGTATATTGTTATTTCTACATTTTTTATTAAAAATACAAATTTTTAAATAGTAAAATATTTACAATACATTCGTCGTCTGCGAACAAGTTGTTTCCTTACGGGTTGCATTCACACACGAGCAGTGTTTGGACGACCGACATCGTCGTCCGAACAATATTTTTAAACGTATAATATAAACGAGGATTCGAATCGTGTGCGTTTCAGCAGCGATTTTATGTAAAGGTTTTGGACGACCAGCAGAGTCGTCTAAACAGTAAAATATTCGTATACTACTATATTGGGTAATTTATTTTTAGAATTGACGCTCGTCGTTATCGTATGCTGTAATAGTATAATCACTATTATTTTCATTTTTATTTTCTACTGCGACCTTTAAAATAATAATATGTGTATTGTATTTTATTTTATTATATTTAATTTGACAATTTACGTCCGTACAACGCGAATTTCCACCACCTCCGCCACCACCACATTGAATGTGTCCTATTCGATTTTCGTCGTCAATTGCGTACGCGATATCGTTGTCGTATACGATGAAAGGTCTTGTTAGTTTTTTATATTAACTACTTCTTCTTCCTCGCCTTTAATCCCAAAACCGTTCGAGGTCGGCTCGTCAGTTTAATAACTGACTTTTCTTATTTGCATATCGCGTTTATTATTTTTATGTGTATATGCATCTATATATTTATGTATTGTTTGGTTATATTACGTTTGGTCATCTCGTGACCGATATAGTCGCGATCGCGCACAGAAATCGATTGAATCGGGGAAAATCGTACGCGCGTATCGCACTCTTCTACCAAAAGCTACATGATCTGCTATTCCCTTATTTATATCCTGATTAAGATGAAGTATGTCGAATGAAAGATGTATATAAATAATACTTTGCATGAAAAAGTTGTATTGATCCATACATTTTTCAAAATGTTATAGCATTATATAGTTAAAAATGTAAAATATGAAATCGAGAATTTTCACACAAAAATAGCATATGGTAGCCATTTTCACCGTGAAGAGAAAATAAAGTCCGAAACTTTTTTTTTTCCATGATAGTAAAACCAATACCTTCTCAGCTTCGCATCGAAACTAAGATCCAAATCCAATACCTCCCCGCCGCCAAAAACGGGTTATTGAACACGCCTGGGGGCTGCGCGGTGCCTCGTCGACACAGACCCGTCTATCACAATGCGTTTCGTGATCTGTTCGAGATTTTCCCCATTTTTATTATCGATTCAGACTATTACGATACGTTTTTGTTGCCGTTTCGTTGATACTATTACATACACACACACACACACATATACGTATATCGTCAATTATGAATTTTGAAATTTCGCAAAATTATTAGACCGTGTCGCTTAATTATTGTTATCATTATCATTGTCGTTATTGCTGCTACTACAATTATTATTATTTTATTAACTTCGATGCGAAACTCAGAAGATATTCATTTTAATTAAATTTTTTTTTTTTTGTGTATGTTACCACATTTCTTGGCTCTCAATGAACAATTTTTTTCAATGATACGTCATACAAATCGTATCTAGTCGAAGACATTACTCTCAAGAATTGAGGGTAATGTCAAAATAAAAAAAACTTCCAAAAAAATTATAAATTAAAAAATCGCTAATGTTCGACATTTTTTTTCAATTTTTCTTTCTTAAAACTGCCAAAACTTTTTCAAAAATTACCAAATCAATATAATTTTTTTTTATAGACTATGATGTCTTTATCTATCATTTGATATATTTTTTTATAAATCTAACCTTGAACCAGCCCAAAATGACAACTTTTTCACAAAAATTAACTTTTTCAACTTGACTTTTGAAAATGTTCTGGAAATACTGTTACTTTTATTTACCTTAAATTAAAATTTATGTGATATACTTTATTATGAAAAAGAAAAATTTTAGACTTAGTTTGTTTTCATGGGGAAAACTAACATCAAAGTTGATAAAAAAAAATACAATTTTTGTAAGAAATTATTTTTTATATTTTTAATTTTATAATGCTATAACTTTTTGATAAATATTACAATACAATTTTATTATGATAAATACTATTTATATACCTCTTTCATTCGACATACTTTTTTTTTAAATAAAACCATTTTCCTTTATATATTATAGATATATATATATTTATTCATTTATTACACTTATAAATCATAAAACTTGTAATCAGGATATAAATAAGGAAATAGGAGATCATGTAGTTTTTGAAATAATCCACCAAATTAAACACTATCTACAGGTTTGTATCGTTTTTTATGATAGTGATTTTAATCACTGCCTTGCCACTTGCCGCGACCTCACTGTGCTGGGTTTTGTTATTTGTATTTTTTTATTTTATTATATTTGTACGCGTTTATTCGCGCGTTGGCCTCGAAGTCCTCTACTGCGCGCGACTCGCCGGGCCGCGTATCGAATTGACCGCCCTGCCACCACGACCGAATCGGGTTGTTTATTCGGGTTTGCGAAACTATCTGGGAAAAGACTGCCACGATAAACAATAAGCACGGGCCCATGGAGACCATGATCTGGTGCCGATAAAACGACAATCGTTCGGGCGGGTGGACGTAAAAATAATAAAAACGTCGATTGCGATCGACGAAAACAATGCGGCGGGTGAGCGTCCGGCGAATTTCGTTATGGAAATTAAAAGAGCTACCCTTTACATATTCGCCGGCCACGTAACAGCGCGGTATCTGCACATTCGCCGCAGAACTCGATAAAACGTACGCGTATGTACAATCAATATATATATATATATGTGATGAGAATTTTCGAATATTTTTAACTACCGAATAACTATTCGAATTGTGTTGATACAACCGAATTGTTTATTTTTTGAATTACTATCGAATAGTTCGATAGTTACTATTCAATATTTCCCATTACTAATATATATATATGTATATAAAATCTAATCTAAATAACGCGGCGACAATAATTAATAATTAATATATCCATATATAATAATAATGGTAGATATTTAATAAATGTCAATTTTGTATCCGGTCTCTTGACTTGTCCGACGCGATCGCATTCGTTTTCGAGACGATCGGCGGCAGCGGCGGCGGCTGCTGTCGCGGTCGCAAACAGACCGCACGCCTGGCCCGAGTCACCCGCGCCGTCATCCGGGAAATCGTGTTGACGCCGCATCATTAGCCCGGCCGTCGACCGTACGTTTGTATCCTCCCTGGGTTTGATTTCATCGTTATACACAATTTTTAGCTTCGATGCGAAGCTGAGAAGGTGTTAGTTTTACTATGATGTATTTTTTTTTTTTGTGTCTGTTACTACTTTTTCTCAGCTCTCACCGAACGGATTTCTTTCAACAATACGTCAAAAGATCACAAATCGTATCTAGTCGAAGATATTATCCTCAAATATTTCCCTCGTTCCCCGTAAATGGGGGAAACCTTCAAAAAAATTACAAATTTCAAAATCGCTAAATTTCGACATTTTTTCAATTTTTTTTATTTAAAACTGCCATAACTTTTTCAAAATTGAACAAATCAATATAATTTTTTTTTTAATAAATGCATAATGTTTTTACCTATCATATGGTATATTTTTTTATAAATTTGACTCTAAACCTGCCTACAGGGGGGGATTTAAAATGACAACTTTTTCACAAAAAATTAACTTTTTCAACTTAAATTTTGAAAATGTTCCGGAAGGTCTGATACTTTTATATATATTTTAAATTAAGGATAATGTAATGTACTTTATTATGAAAAAAAATAATGTTTGACTTTATTTTATTTTCACGGTCAAAATGGCTACCAAATGCTATTTTTGTGTGAAAATTCTCGATTTACATTATACTTGATCCAACTATGCTACGTCACCACTGTGCCGCGACCCCCCTCTTTAAATTTAGATTCCGGCAATTGGAATTTGATCGTGTCGTATATTGTAGTGCAAAACCCTTTATGAAACTAAGTAAGTTTATAACATATATATATAATAAATCATATATTGCATACAGAGTGTTTAGTGAGTGTGGAAACGGGTTTG